GTCTATAGACTCACTAGGGGGGACCAGAAGGGTTTGGGGGAGACGCTGTTTCCCCTAGCGCCCGCTGGCATAACAAGAAGCAATGGGCACAAGTTGATGGAGAGGAGGTATAGATTGGACATCCGCAAGAACTACTTCACAGTTAGGGCAGCTAGGAGCTGGAACCAACTTGGAAGTGGTGCTGGCCCCTACCCTGGGGGTCTTTAAGAAGAGGCTGGATGCCTACCTGGTTGGACTCATTTGAGTCCCGCTTCTCTTTTTGGGGTTTTTTTGTTGTTCTCCCGCCCTGGCGGGGCGGGGGTCGGGCTAGAAGATCTACTAGGTCCCTTCCGACCCTTAATCTATGAATCTATGAATCTTCTATTTATATACCAGGCTTTCCAGCAAGGGCTCAGGGTGGCTTAGAATTAGGAAACAGAATAACTTAAAAACAGGAGAGGGACCAAAGAACACACTGAATATCAAGATAGAAGAGAGACCCTCTAAGCACCATCTCGGCTTAGCTTTATTTGCTAAATGGCTGCCCTAACAGGAAAGTCTTTCAACACTTCTGAAAGATGTCCGGGCTTGGGCTCTGGCAGCCTCAGGAGGGAGGGAGTTCCAGAGCTGAGGAACCATTGCCAAGAATGACCTCCAACACAGTTTTGCCAAGCAGACTTGACGTATTGATGGTACCTAAAGTAGGCGGCTCTCAGATGACCTTAGGGATTGCAATGGGATGGCTGGGTCTCTTGGGAATGGCCATTTATGGCCACACACGTGAAAACCAGCACCTTGAGTTGCACCTGGAAAGGTACTGAGATCCAGTGCAGATGCTGGTGAACTAGAGATGCATACTTCTGGCGACCCACCTGCATCACAAGTTGGGCTGCTGCGGATGGTTTTCAAGGGAAGCCCTGCATAGAGTGCATTGCAGTAGTCTAACATTGAGGTTACAAAGGCATGGATGATGGTGGTGATAGGACTCTGCAAGAAAGGGTCGAAGACTTCTCACCGATGCAGTGGGTAAAAGGCACTCCTAGCCACTGCCACCACCTGTAGATCCAGGTGCAGCAAATGATCCAGGAGCCCCCCAAGGCTGCAAACCCGTGTGACAAAGTGAGGCTGAACCCCAGAGATACAAGTTCCAGTCTCCACCAAGTCACATGGTCTGCCCACCACCATCACCTGTCTTGCTTGGATTCAGTTTTAATTGGTTCATCAGCATCCAGTCCCCAACTGCAGCCAGGTACTGGGAAAGGATCAAGGCCAAGGTCAGAAAAGAAGACAAGGTAGACCTGGGTATCATCAGCATATAGATTGCACCTCGCTCCAAATCTCTATACAACTTCACCCAGCGGCATCATATACACATTGATCAAGAGGAGCAATAAGATGGAGCCCTATGGGACCCCCCGGAAACGTCCCGAGGGGATGACGAATGCCCACCGTCACCACCCCCTGGGATCTCCCTGCTAGGAAAAAATGGAACCAATTTAGAGCTGTCCTGCAAATATCCACCAAGTTGCGTGAGCACCTTTATCACTGTTGATGAATGTTTCCCCAATCCAAGGGACAAAGTTTTTTCTTATCGACTGGGGAGTCCATACTGCATAACGTGGCCAAAGTTTTCAGAATTAGAAACTTTAAGCCAGGACACCTGAATCTATTGAAAGACGTTTTTATATAAAAAAAAAAGTGACCTTCTAAATACAGAAGGCACTGTTAATATGCAACTCTCACATTTCTATTGTAGCTCTTCAAATACTTAAAGATAGAATGCACCTGTAACAAATGCTGCAGCTAGCTATCATCCTAAATATAATATACGCAACTGGCTCATCCTTAAAAAACAGCAGCATCTGGAACCTAATAAGCAAGAGTCTCACTGGATCAATATTAAACATACAGATCAGTTTAAGTAAGGGAGACTGCGCTCAAATTCTGGCTTGGTATTTGTGTATGACCTTAGCCAAGTCACTTAATTTCTGTGCCTCAGTTTCCCACCTGTAAACTGGGGATATTGTGCCTCTCACTTTGTTTGGCTGGTCTATTTAGACTGATCTCTGAGACAGGGAACATCTCTTAACATGTGTCTGTATGGTAACTGTCACAACAGGGCCACAAACTTGATTGGGATCTCCCCAAACAACCATGGCATATATAAAACAGAGAAACTCTGTGGCAGGTATGATCTTTTTGACTGCACAGCACCTAACACCACAAGTCTGCTCCAGGAGCAGGACTCACAGGCACAACTGTAATAGAAACAATAATAAAAGGAAAGCTAATCAATACACGGTTGCCCTTGAAGCCCAGGAGGATTCAGGATTAAGGCTAATATTTATTTTCTTCTGATCAGGAACTGAAAACAGCCCTGCCCATTAACAGGACAGAATAGCCTATTACATCTGGGTGCTGGAAGACAGACCCCCAGCTAGCTCCATTTTTCAATGAAGAGTTACTGTTTCAAACACAGCCCAACAGTTTTGCAGTGCATCAGGCACTTTGGGCTCCTATACATGTGCAGGGAGCCAGCTCCGACGCACTGGAAATCCAGTGTCAGAGCAAACTCAATTAATTGAGTCTGCTGGAGCACAGACTCCAGCGTCACATGCATCAGCATCCCTGCACTGCAAAATGATGGTGGGGCACTTTGATCTAAAGTTCATTCAATGAGTTTTTAGTTCAAAGTGCCCCGCCACCATCTTTCAGCACAGGGGATGCTGATACATATAATGTTCAGGCACTTCATTAGCATGGCTTTCTAATTAAAGCACCGCCCCACACCTCCCAGAGCACGTGTAAAAATGCTAGATCACCAACTGCACCAGTGTGTTGACTGGTACCACATCATGCCACATCCCCTAACACCACCTCCCTTAGCATCTGTTACAATTACCCTTAACTTCAGGGAACAAATGCATGCTGCAGGGCTTTACCTGCACTCCTGACCTCCACTGAAAAATCCTAGAGTACGTGCTACTGGCATAGCAGGCCACAGACCTCTGCACGTCACAAGGAAGCCGCAGCGCTTATAGGAAGATGGGCACAGTTAACGCATTCAGGGGTGACAGCAGGTGACTGACCACACCTCATCTACTGGGTTTAAGCACCAGTCACTGTAACTTGTCAATTGATAAGGAACTGCTATCAGGGAGGAAAGGGGTTAATGAGGGGGAAGAACAGCAAAATAATTCAGCAGCTCCTCAAAGAGACCAGGCCTGGCCAAGTGCCCCCTGGCACGCCAGCAAGAAACAAATCTGCCTCCCCGTATCTTCAGCAAAACCCAAAGGATGCTGTCTTGGTTAGACACTGCTGCACTTTGCCACCTCCTGCCCTAGCCTGGCTGATTCTGTGCCACAGCTGGACCAATTCACTTCACAGCTATCGCCACATCTGGAAAGAAGGCAATTCTTGACGGACTTTTTCCAACAATCGACATTTCTGTCCTTGGCTCCACCTCTGCCCCTCAAGGCTCTGCCAGTGCCTTATTCCTGATCCTCTATCTCCTTTCTGACTCCAGACTCCTTGCCCACATCGCCCCGTGCGTCTGTCATCACCTCACAGCTGAGGTTCTCCAAGCAGCTTCTGGAGGCATCTATGCATGGCCTCGGGTCCCGACTGAGGGAAATTCTCACACAAGAGAGCATATTTTAAACAGTCACGCCGTTGTTGTCTGAGGAAGAAAGTGGCTGAGTCAGACTTACGAAGTTAGGAGAGAGGCAGTATTTATGGCTAGTTAGGAATTGAGCGCCACTGCCAGATGCTTGCCGTGGTGACCCAAGTGGCACAGTCTGGCCTGAAGGAAGGGCAGACAGTGATCAAATTAAGCCATTCATCCTGCATGCATTGTACAGCTAAGGAGGGGCTGACTGTGGGGCCAACAAAGCCACCTCAAGATCCAGACACTCAGACCCAGCACTGCTATGGACCTAGCTCTGTGACTTTGGCTGGCTCTAGAAATGGGTTGAGTTGGTAGATCCAATCCAAACCAGCAGAGACGAGGCGATGCTGGCAAATGCATGTGCATGTGGAAATGTGTGTCCCAGTTGCATGTGGGAATTGGGCTCAATCCTGTCTTCACAGCTGGGCTGACTGGAGGCAGCCTTTGGGACCAGTCTGATGCAAGGCTCAAATGGATGCCTTAACTGTTCTGTCTCAGTGGGTTTCAATGCTTCTAAAATTCATGTTGCACTGCTGGTCCGTGCTGCTGGGTGTTGCAATGTATTGCATCAGAATTGAAATTAGATGGCAAAATCCCTGCAGCAGGAAGCCTGACAGCTGCCTGTAGGCATCACGCCATCTGCATAAACAAGCACAACACCACACGCTGCTTTCTAAGAGACCCTGGAGCCGTGCGGGCCCGCCAGGCATGCAGATGGGAAGCTGGAAGCGGCTCACCTGCTTGCTGGAGTGAGGGCTGTTTTTGTTCCTGTGGCTGTCCAGCAGTCCCCCACATTTGCCTAGGGCTGCCAGATCCTTCATAATAGAGTTGAGAGCTTCCTCTTCATCTGCAAAAAGGAAGAAATGAGTGAGTGACTGTTGCATGCCAAGTTGCTTTCCCCCAAAGCACCCTCCCCACACACGTGGGGCTGCACAGAGAAATGCAAAGCATCACAGCAGAGGAGATGCCCCCTTTCAAGATGAATGTTTTACAGGTCAGGCTTCTCCCCCCGACATGGACTAGAATTCCCTTTGCCCTTTTCCTCCCACTGGGAAAATTTTCCCAGGCGAAGGGAAAATCTTTCCACTTGACACAAAGCTTTGGATGAGGCCCTTTACTCCCCTCCAACATCCATTTCATGCACTCTCAGTCTCAGAAACGGTGTGAACACGCTATGACTCTCCATCATGAAAACAGAGTCTAATCAGGAAAGGGTGGAAGGGAAAAGGTTGAGGAGAGGAGCAAGCAGGAAGACTGCCTGGCTGGGGGAGGACAGAGAGAGCGGCTGGAGTACGTGGGACCTCACTTTCTGTCCTCAGGTGCGTCTGTGGGGGTGCCAGGAGTTCTGGCAGGTCCAGGCCATTTGGTCTGACACCAACCTGCAAGTCCCACAAACCCAGGTCACTGTTTCTCTGCCAGCAAACTGCCCGTGCCTGGAGCCGAAGCCCGGACAATCACGGCTGCTTAATAAGCAAATGTGTCTAGTGGATGCCCACCCTCCCACCTGACTCTCAAACCGAGACAGCACTCTTAACAAGAAGCCACTCCGCTGCAAAGACACGACTGGTGCAGCACGCAGACCCCATAGTTGTAAGGAAGAGCATCCAGAGACACCGCTAGCATTTTCCGGTTGCTTCCTCCAAAAAGAAACAGGCCACAAAACTGACACCCGCTGCTTATGGTGGGATGTCACAGGAGGGCTAGCCCAAGTGCCAACATTATGGGAGTCTTTGCATAGATTTCCTTGAGTAGCTGGAGGTAATTAGCAATGTTCACTTCCCCTTGATCTGCTGGCAATGCTCCTACCAATGCAGCCCAGGTTAGCCTTCTTTGCAACCAGGGCACACTTCATTCCTCTTCCCCCACCTCATCTACTGCTATGATTTCTGCTCTTTGCTTTGTGCTTCCTGCTTGATTTGCT